ATACCCACAAGAGTGGGATATTTGCCAAAAAAATTTAGATGTTTTAAAGGTTTTTAATGATGCAACTTATACTTTGTCCAGTGTTTATTATCCTGCTACACATTTATTTTAGTAGAGTGTACTAATATTGTCGGAATTTTTGATGAATATGAAAATGATGTTGAATTGCAACATACTATAGTTGCAATGAAAATGAAGTGGCTACATTATTATAGGGAAATTCCCATTATTTATTTAGTTGCTTGTGTTTTTGATCCGCGTTGCAAATTGGATGGCTTAAATGATTTTTTGCGTACGTATTATCAATGTTTACATTATGATGCGATAAATGTTACAACCATAATACGTGAGGTTAAAAATGTAGTAATAGAATTATATAATGAATTTTATGCTAAATATAATTTAGGTGATATTGGATCTTCTCGATCTACGGAGATACAAAATGACAGTACAGGTAAAATTAGTAGAGGGTACCAACTTTTATTACATAGATAAAAAAAAAACAAAAGGGAGTAATAGGAAATATTTCTGAATTAGAGATTTATCTAACCGTTTCATTTGAGTTTACTGAATCCGAAGGTGGTACAGATTTTTTAATTTTGGATTGGTGGAAGAGGCACGCAAGCCAATATCCAATCCTTTCTCTTATTGCAAAACAGATTTTTTCAACCCCTTGTTCCACAGTTGCGGTCGAACAAGCATTCAGTGCCGGAGGTAATATTTTGGACGAACATCGTCTCCAAAATCAGTGGAGATTCAAGCTTGTGTTGCTGATTGGACGAAGGCTCAATACCGGCAACAAGAGATAGATCGGAATAATGAATCCGAATTCTTTAACGACGGAGATACTACGGTACGTGCAGATCTTGGAGCAGGTAGTGACGATTGAGGGTAAAAGAACTATTGGAGTTGGCAAATATTTCGGGAACCCTTGTTTCTCATACCGGGTACGCCCACGTGAGCTTAGGGAAATCGAAATATAATCCGACGACATGTGACCTCTGGTCCCCTGCGCACGGAATGCTTAGGTTTTGGGGTCATTTTAGGGCATATATATTGTGCTCCTTTTTTTTTATAAATCGTTGTAACGAATTATAATATGCTAAGTGATAATTTATTAAGTTCAAGCCCTCTCTTTCTCTCGTCTTTTTGTCCTCAAATTTGATTACAATTTACATTTTAATTACAATTTATATTGAATAATGTTCCGGTGACGGAACATTAACTTTTTAATTTTTTATTATTATTTTCTTTTCTTTTTTTATTTTCCTTTTCCTTTCTTATTTTTTTTTCTTTTCTTCCTCCGCCGGCCATAGCCGGGCCGGCGGAGGTCGCCGGCCTCAGGCGAGGCCGCCCTCGCCGGCGTCGGGCGAGGCCGACCTCGCCTGCACCGGCGAGGCCGGCCTCGGCCGGCGCCGGCGAGGCTCGACCTCGCCCGCAACCGGCGAGGCCGGCCTCGGCCGGCGCCGCCGCGAGGCTCGACCTCGCCACTTGCAACCGGCGAGGCCGGCCTCGGCCGACGCGCGCGAGGTCGAGCCCTCGCCCAGATCTGGCGAGGCCGGCCTCGCCCGGCCCAAGCAAGGGCGGCCCTCGCCCGACGCCGGCGAGGCCGGCGACCTCCGCCGGCCCCGGCTATGGCCGGCGGAGGAAGAAAAGAAAAAAAAAAAAGAACCGGCCCGAAACCGGTTCCGAACCTAAAACCGGAACCGGAACCGGCCCGGAACCGGACGGTTCCGGTTCATGCTTGGCCACGAACCGGAACCGCCGGTTCCGAACCGGAACCGCCGGTTCCGAACCATGGCCATGACTAAAAGTCGAGCCTATGCGTGAGGTCTAAAAGAGGAAAGGAGGAGAGAAAATTTTTAACGTAGTTATCTTTTAAATAGGTAAATTAGAAAATGGCATCATTTTAATCTTAGGACCTACTTAAAGTTTGGATAGGTCTGAACCTACCCAAATTTTTGCCATAAGTTTACTAACTGAGTATTCAATCAAATAGTTTAGTTTATGTGTTTAATTTGAAAAATACGACATAAGACTCTGATGCAATTGCTTTTTACTAAAGTAGGATTTAGAGGGAATAAATATGATTTTATGTGTATGCTAAATGAAACAACTATCATGACATGCCTTAATAATATAAATAAATATGTGAATGTTCTAACAGCTATTGCATAGAGAAAATCGTTGCTACTATACAATATTTACAGTAACTTCTGTGGTAATATAGATGCAGATTTAATACCTAATAATCGGGAAAATTGTTTTTTTATATTTACACCCATCGTACGGATTCTAATGTAGTTCTAAACATTTTAATTGATCTAATTTAATGCTAAATGTTTGCGTAAAATTTTAATATAGTTATTCCGATCAATTCTTTTATAAATTACTAACGTGGCTGTTCCATTATCTCCGTTGTCCTTTGTGCACGGTCGGCGATCTAATGTGGATGAAACCACGTCATTTTAGTTAATTTTTATGAATTTTGTTTCTTTATGGTGACTGTTCATCTTCGACCTTTGCCACTTCAACGGTGTCATCAAGGACTATTCTATTGACAACTTGCCTCGGTTGTCCATCTCGATGTTCCCCTCTTTGAGGAAGTACATTGGCTTGCGGGCCCGATAACTTCACTTTTTTCTATGCTATTTCGGGTTTTCCATATCAAAAGGTCGATACTTTGCTGCATTCGCAAGCGATTGTTGATGGGTTTAAATTGGATTTGTTTTTTTTTTGGTCAAAAATTTGGATTTGTTTATTAGGTCCCCTTTGGTGGATATTTACTCGAAGTTCTCGAAAGTGGTGCTTGCAAAGAAGCTGTTTGATGAGATGCCTGAGAGGCACATTGTGTTGTAACACCATGATCTCTCAGCCAGCTCGGCCACTCCTCCATGGCCCTCAACCTTGGGGCCATCAAGATCTCAATGAGTCAGCTAGCCTTTTAAGCGTAGATCTGGATGGCTGGCATCGTCACGAAGCTCGTACAACCCCCAATGAGGTTGTCGTGGCTGTTGATGACCTCATAACAAAGTTAAGCTGCCATGGACGGCGACCTCAGTCGAGGTTATTCATGGCTTCCACGACCTCGATCCATGGTCTTGGGGCTTCTCGACCTTGAATCTAGGGTCACCGCAGCTGTCCTCAACCCTAGTGACCACCGTAACGAGAAACAAAGAGAGATCTCCGGTGATCAAGACTTGAGATTACCGTTGTTGCGGGTGGTAGGTGAAAACAGAGGTAGAAGATGAACAATAACCAAAAAGAAAGAAAAGGAAAAAGAAAAATGAGAAAATTTAGTAAAACGACATCGTTTTGTCCCATCAAATTGCCGGCCGGATTACGTAGGATGGCTAACAATGACTGGATCGCAATGCCAGGAAATTTAGGCGAGCATTAGCTCGAAAAACTATATTAAAATATCACGCAAATGTTTAAAATTATGTTGGATCAATTGAAATGTTTATGTTAGATAAATCTCTTACCAAAGTTATATTGTTAATTTGAAGATAATTATATAAAGGAGAAAAGAAAATAAAGAGGGATAACGACAGGGCAAGTGTATGAACTTTTGCCTTTTTCAATTGAATGCCAAAACTTTTTACTATTCAATCAAATACCTTAACTTTTAAGATTTGGTTGTGAAGGTTAATTAAATTGCCATGTCATTTGATTTTGTGGAAATGGTTCGCTTATTTGGTAAAAGTTAATCACAATTGATGACATGACTCGCTTGCTTAGAAAAAAATCGTGTGCTCGATCCATTTGAGTGTCGGGTGATGACAAGAAAGAGAGTGCCAGCTTGGACGATTTTTTAGCCATTCGATATGTCTAGTTAATGTGGCATCATCTTAACTTACCACATTGGATGCCAATATGGAAAGCCAATGGCTATTTAACAACCTTAGTGTCCACGTTGACATTTTCCGTCCGCGATCTTAAGGGAGGCCTCACATTGACATCCTTTTGAAAAGTTGACGTACTTGATTAAACAAAAAATTAAAACAAACGGAAACTTGTATACTATGGTGTTAGTAACAACAAATGAACGGGAAAGGGCTTCCTAATGTTCGACAAACTGCAACAGCTTTCAATTGGATAGTGCAAATGGAGAAATGCCATGAAAGCTCTATTGAGCCCCATAAGCATTTGCGCGAAAAGGACTTGCAAGTTTTTATGAACATTAAAGCATACCCTATACACATACTTTACATTAGAATGGTTAGATCGACGTCCATGACTAGATCACATCATGGAGATGTTTTGGCTAAGCAATTGGAATATCAAGAAAAGAAGCTGAGAAGTGAGTGGAATTATATATATTGAGGAAGGATAGAGTTCACTGAACGATTGCCTTTAGGTTCCGAACTCCAAATGGGGAAGGAGCATTGTTGTTTGCGAGGTCTTGATCATTTACATGGGCCCAGTTCTCATTCCATTTGTGGGTATTTGATGATCTACAAACCGTCTTTAAGAAACGATCGGCTCATGTTTGAGCATGAGCGCCAAGATCAGACGAGAGAGATAGAGCTACGAGATTAGCTCCCATTGAGGATGGGACCAGCAGGAGATAGCTTTGATCGAGGAGTTGGGCTTTTCTTCGCTGATGAATCGATTATTTAGTGAAGCGAGTATAATTATGTACTCTTGAGGCAAAAATCATGACTAAAGGAAGAGTCCTTAGCCATGTTATGGAATTTCTATCCTTTTCAGTGCAAATGGTAATAATCCTTTGATAGATATGTTTGCTGGTCGAAAGTTTTGTGGACAACTTATAAGAAGAACGTAAACTCTGTTTAAGACTGTCTTCTGTTAGTCTCAAGTCATCATAAAAGGAAATTTATTCGATTAAGAACATTGCGTCGTCAACAACGGACATGATAATAACTGATACAAACCTAACCATGCAAGAGAGCATATAGGTCGTTCCAATTCCCTCTCCCAAAGTTAGTGGGATTCTACATTGTACGACGAGGATACGGGTATTGTGGCGCCGTTGTTTAGTTCTTGGTGCTGCTGTGGTCTGCAACGAACCCTTGATCCGGTACCTGAGGCTTGTTGTTACCTTCTGCTTGGGCTAGCCCTTCGACATAGGCGATCCTTTTGTTCAGCTCTGATTTTTTTTCCTCCAAGAAGGAGAGTAAGTCGCAGAGTTCATCTCTTGAAAAGTTTTCGAAGCTCTTCCCTTGTTCATGGAATCGGTGCAACAAGAGGTTCATTTGCATGTTTTTGTTTCTGCGTTTATACTTGTTGAGCAGTTCCTGGTCCATGGCTATCTTTTCCCGGAGGTAAGCCTGTTGGGTCGACATTTCTTCGGACCTCTCTGCTTCTGGGGAGCTTTGGAAACTCAACAGCAATTGTGCAGTCTCCGGGTGAGATGGCCGTATCGCTGGTTCGTTATCGCCCCGACCATACATGATAGCGAACTCACTCACACTGCACACATTATCGAGCTTAAACTTCTTCCTCATCATGGTTAATTCTCAATGTGGACTCTCTTACCTCCAGACATGCGTATTTATAGCGTACTCGAAGAGGGTGATTCCATATCCTGGCACTGCTGAATCAAGGCAATTGAGAATCAAATTAGGAAGTGCGGTGCCATAGATGGTGAAAATTCTGGATTATGGAAATAGATTTGCAATTCATCATGCCAAGGTTACATGGTAGTGAATGAGCTGATTCTTTTTTCTCTTTTGGGGTCTCTTATCCGGCATAGAAAATCATGGTCGGTGAATGAAAGGCTTTGGATACACATGCATCATTGACCGAGTTTGGAAATCTTTGAAAGTGGAAGGGAGTGGAAGAGGAATATACTCGCATATGGCAATTGAGAGGAACATGGATAGGATGAAATTAAATAGCTCCTGATCAGATAGAAATCCAAGAACTTTCTATGTATGCAAAGTGCATTTTTAGTAGTGAACAACTAAGCATATCGATCAACCAACCTATGCGCGCAAAAATAGAGCTTTCGAATTTTACATTGTCGGTTCGGCAAAATAAAAAGAAAAAAAAAGGACAGAGATGTGTAAAGTCGTTATTTTCGTTACGGTTTCACGAAGAACTTGCTGTCGTATTGTAATTTCACTTAACTATTGTGCTTGGAAACTTATTGGTTTTGGTTAATGCTAGATCATGAAGAACAAAAATGAGATAGACTTGACTAGATTGCTTTTTGTGGAAATAAACTTTGGGAGTTGTAAAGTAGTACGTGTAAGTCATATCCAAAATGAAATAGTAATGAACTTTCCATGGAAGAGCTTTCCGGTGTTGATTTTTGACGCGCGATCGGAGTATCAGCCATATTTGGGATTTCATTTTCTATTTGCAGATTTTTACATTTATTTGAATATTTTAGATGACGGCATTTCCTTTTAAATTATTGTTTGATTAGATTTTAGGTTATTATTTTTATCGATTAGTAGATATTATTTACCTTTTAGGAGTTATCTCATTGGGATTCTTTTTAGAAAAAAATAGGACGTTTCTAGTATTTATCAGAACATTTTATCCTTTTCGAAATTATATCAAGAGTTTATCATTGTATGTTTTGTGCGTTTGATTGCACGTCATATGTGTTGGCGAGTTGTGACTCGTGTGTTTCTTGTTTTCGCCGTGTGTTGATACCTAAATTTTTGCGTCTCATTTAGAGATTAATTGCATAGAAAATTAAGAATTAATCTTTAACTCTTAAACAAAAATATTAAAGTTAAATTGCATAGCATATAGTTTAGAAGCATATAGTTTAATTGCATTTTTTGCATCGAACCGACGATTGGCAAATAAACTCAAACTAGTTCAGATTTGGCCTACACATCAACCAAAATTCAATCAGGCTAGAGGGCATTGTGGCCGAAAATAACAAGATAAGACAGGCCAAATTGAGCTTAATTTGATTATAATTCAATCAATTGAAGTTTAATTATAAGTTAGGCTTAGGTTATTAGAGCCCATCACATTGGAAAAGGCTTACTTTAAGCCTGCGATAGTGAGATAAATCTAGGTTAACGCTATATATAGATAGTTATGCCTCTTGATTGGAGGGCGGTAATCATAATTTCATAATACAGAGAGTGACACACGTGAGGTGTAAAGAGAAAAGAGAAAGCCTGGCCAAGTCCTTCGCAGCCAAGCCCCCTCCGCGGCCGAGCTTCCTTCGCACGACGACGCAGCCACCTCCTCATCGATCCAGTGTTGCTCCCTGGCTCACCCTATTGTTGCCACGGCACAACTTGCTCTCGTGACGAGTTGTCGTTCTTCTGCCCGACATTGCCGTGCCGTTGCTCCCCGACCAGCTGCTCCTGGTGACCCGACGAGGCGTTGCTATCCCTGCCCCGATCCCGATGACCTATTGCTCCACCGCTTAGATCTGCTGCTCCTTCGTGACGTGCCGTTGCACCAAAAGCCGCGAGCCCTCCCCCCCTACACCGCGAGCCCTCCCTTGCCGGCTATCCGCCGTTGCCACTTGTTGGTCGTCCGCCACTGCCAGCCGCCATCGCTTGCCGGCAATTCGCCGCTGCCAGCCGGCTACCAGGAATATAAATTTAAGAATAACCTATCAATTTTGTGTCATTATCAAAACGATAATTTTTCTTAGAAAATCATCAGAGGAATAGAAATAGATTTTTCTCTTCCCTGGCTCTATTCCCCGGACGAGTTTTTGAGCACAAAGTAATGTTTGATAATGACACAAAATTTCAGTGCTCGAATTAGAAATTCATTTGATAAGTTATTCTTAAATTTCTACTCCCAGAGGACGGTCTGCGAGCGGTAACGGATGGCCGGCGGGCGAGCGGTAACGGATGGCCGGCGGGCGAGCGGTGGACGGTGGACGACGAGCAGCGGGCAGGGGGCGGTGGGCCACAGATGGCGAATGGCTGGTGGCGGGCGGGTGGCAGACGATGAGCGGTGGCAGCAGACGACAGGCAAGCGGCTGCGGTGGGCGGCTAGAGTGAGCAATAAAAGAGAGTTGTTTTTTTATGTTTTTTTCAAGAAATAGAAAAGTAGAAAATTTTTACTTCTCATTTCTTTTCCAAACCTATTTCTAGGCTAAAAATTTGTCCTAGAAATAGAAAAATAAAATTATTTTATCAAATGGATTTATGTTTCAAACCTGTTCTTGGAAATAAAAAAAATAGAAAAATAGAAAAACAAAATCGTTATCATTCTAAGCTATTTGATAACCTCTAATTACACACACCTTCATTGATTTTTTGGTCAAAATCACTTAATTTCATAAGCGAGGAAGGGCTTACTTAATTGGCCAATTGATTCAATATCCAATGGGAATCATTATAAAATTATCAATGTCAAAAGCATGCGATGATGCTCACTATTCCATGTATGGTAAGAAATTATTTGATTTTTATCTACTCTCAAATGACTACTTATTTTCATTTTTAATACGTAAATTTCAACACCCAAACTTAAATTTTTAGCACTTATGTTTTAGTTATATCAAACAAAATAATCATCTAATTTCCCATATGTAGCTTGGGCTTACACATTGTAATTATGTAGATTTACGAATGCATAAGGAAAATGTCGAAAAAACTCTATGTATGTTGAAGATAACAGTTTGTTGTGAACAAATATTTGAGTGTGTAGACGAAATATCCTTTACATACACAAGTTCATATAGAGTTGATGAGAACATCAGGATGTTTGTGCTAGTGGAGAGCTTCCATATTTTGCAAATGGAAAATAATATACTGAGTAGAAAGTGTTAAAGTTGGAAGGACATTTGGATTTTGGTGAACACGTGACAGATGTGTGATTGTTGAGATGCTTCAATGGACCAAATAGAAGAAGAACGGCTAGGATAACATTCAGTATATCAATATGTTAGGAATGGATGAGATCGGCCAAGTCTGGATGGATCGCTTTGTAGGAGAAGTTCTCTCTAAAGACAAAGTGGAGCACGCACTTGAAAACGAAGACCCAGTTCTAAATCAATTTGATTAAATCAAATTAGTGCATTGGAGTCAATTTTAGGGATTGGAATCCACAGGGAGATGTTTTGGAGAAGTCAGATTGGGATTTGCCTTTCTTTACTAAGCAGATGAAGTGTTAGGAAGGAAGTAGAGGCAATTATCCATTTCAAGTAAAGTCCATTTATTAGCTGCTAAAGGACAATTTGAGTTATGGACAGACCTTGTAGCGGCTACTTTGACCTATATGTGCGTGTGGCCAAAGGGATTAACACACTTTGAAACTTGTTCTTATTTCTAGTGCTCATCGATTGAGAAAAATCTTATGAAATATGAGTATTTCTTTGAGGGAATGCTGGTGCAGTCTCCGTAAAAGAGTGCTTTGAGAGGAAAGTGAAGCGTTTGTAATTGGGGAACGAGCTACAGTCCCTCAGTGTAGAGGCAACTTCATCTATAAACACAGTCTAAGGCTTCAAGGGTTGGAAATAGTGAATTCCGGCTTTGTTATTGGGCTGTTAGAGTTGAAACTTAAAAGTGGGGCAAGTCAAGTGAAAAGACCGAACCACTACAAATTTGCTTTGCAAAACCCTTCTATTCCTTATTCTCCACATTTCAAATTTTAGAAGATACTTGCTCTGTACCGTATATCATTTAACAAGCACTATTTCATCATCTATGTTGGTTTGCATGAAAATGTTATCGATTCAACCCTTCTTGGTTGTTAAGTTCCATCCATTTCTTCTTATGAACAAATCCAAACTTTATTTCATGTGCAAATAGTGTAAAACATAGGCCAACGGGTAAGGGTAAATAAAGTGCAATGTATATCATTTTCATTTTTGGTAACTACATTGATTCTTGTCATAGATGAATGTTTTCTTTGCAAGATTACTCTGGCAAGAATTTATTCAGGCTTATAATTTTGCCATAAATTCATATATATATTGCTATTTGATAAAACAATTAACAGTATAAAGGTAAGAAAAGACAATAACATTACTATAACTTTCATTCAATACTTACTTTGATACCGTGACTTTTCAAGCAATCATTTAAGTGGCACAACTTATAAAAAATGGTATACTTAAGTTACAAAATGGGAAATTTTAATATATCTCATATGTCAAATGCATATTCGAGTTTTAAAAATATGTATCTGAATGCAACAATCTACCAAAAATAGCACAATGGTGGACATGGTGATCGAAGTCAAAGAACGCACTGGAAGACAAATTGAAGCTTAGGCATTAAATCATGATCAAGTATGAAGTCCATATACCAAAAACTTAAATTTATCCCAATCACTTTCAAGAAGCAAAGAATAGGGAAACCAATTTGTTTTTCATCCTAAGTTCACCGGTTTCCAGCTGGTTGGAGAACTCACATTTGTCTCATCCTTCAGATTTGGAAATACAAGAGATTTCTACCCAAAACAGGACAAATCAGATAAAGTTAAGAGCAAAACAAATCAATAATTAGACTTAATGATGTTAACCAAATGAGGATTATTATGTTGGAGTTGGTCACAAAGAAAATATGCC